TACCACAATTTTTTTTTAGACAACGAGCTTGTTACAAGAATTGTTACCATGCAATTTTTTTTTTTGTAAACATCACACTTTTTTGTTAAAAAAATGTTTGACAAGAATTTTTTTTTTTGAGTAAACTACCAGTTTTTTTGGAAATAAATTAATAAATGTTTAAAGGTTGTAAAGGAGCAGCTTTGGCAACAGTTTTTTGTTAATAACGCAACATAACAGAGCAAAAAAAAATGCATATTATAAAATAAATAGAAGTGAAAAGAAAAGCAAAAAGTCCAAAATTAAAATAGTAGTTTTTAAGGTTTAAGGTTGATGGGTAGCCCAGCGGTGGTACCCATGCCGTGTGTCAAGCAGGTACCACCCTTCGACAACTCAGCCTTCAAAGTCAATTGCAATAAACTAACATAAAATTCACTTTATTTAAGTTAAATGTTATAGCATCTGATGAGTATTTAGATTTGTTTTACATTTTCATATGAGAAAATACCAAAATTCGACCAAATAAATAGTAAATACGTAAACAAAAATGTAAAAATCGTACAAATAGTGTTATTCAAAAAACAATAAATTAAAAGCAGCACAGGTTTAAATTTAAAGCTAAAAAATGTCAAATACGTCTCTGATTTGAATAATCGTAGCATAATTTAATGGTATAAACTATTTATTAACATTACATGGTAAGTAATAATCTTTCTAATAAGCCTTGCTGGCATTTCCTCCAGAACTGTTTTTTGTTTTATTCATACAAAATTGCAACTTTGGACCACAAATTAAAAATCTAAACTATGTAGAATCGCCAATTGACGGTCATAAACCTAAAAGAACTTTAAAAGCATTTTTTATAAAACAAATCCCGGAAAATTGCAGCACTCAACAAGTTGACATCAATTTGATAAGATTGTAGAAATAAAAAACTATAAGATAACGACGATCAAGATACAAAAGTCAAATTGCAAATTACATCCAATCTCCATATAATTTATTCTTGCTGTAATAATATTCTATATTCACAGAAGCATTTAAATCAGTGTGAGATCAGCAGAGAAAATTTATTTTATGAGCCACGTCGATTAGTTTAATTACAGGATGGCATATAATACGGATAAATTCCCCGGAATTTAAATTTATTTAAATGTACTTGAATGCATTTGTTCCGTCAAAATTTGCATTAACGATGGAATATTTAAATTTTATAAGAACCTTAACAAATTTCAAGATCATATACGTGGGGATTGGGCTCAACTTCCGGGAGTTAGAAAAAATGCAATTTGAAAAAATTTACTACAATAAATTATTAAGAACGAATCTCAGTAGGACGAACTGATAACAATAATTCAATTCTAATCAATTAGTGATAAGCTTCAAGATAATTGCTTCAGCCGGTTTACTATTTAAAGAAACCTTTAATGACATTTCATTAACATTTAATGCAATAAAATCAGTCATTATAATCTTAAATCAAGCATTTACTTTCATTTGTCACTTGACATAATCCTCCTAGACAAATGAAAAGAATTAAAAAAAATAAGGTTATATCAACAAATAGGTTGTACGTAGCAAAATTATCACTCTCATGTTATCGCTTCTACACGAATCAATTTATCTCTTTGCGTGTAAAAGTTGTCAGTTTTGACATTTACCGTCACAATATTTATGACAATATTATTGCAAAAGTACTACAAAGACTTGACAAAATGCAACACAATCTTCTATAGTGTTAAAAATGGTGTCGGAAAATATAGCTCCATAAATATTTTTCATGAAAAACAACTATTTGGCCAACATGAATTTTTCTAATCATCACATTTATTCATCTAACCTTAAATTTTAAAAGTAAATTTTACAAAATTGTAGAAAATTTAGATCATTTTGAGAAATGACATTTAGTAAAATACAGGGTGGGCCATTTATAATAAAGACCCTAATCGATTTTCAGACGCAACCCAAAATACATTCTCACAGACAACTTTGAAAGTGTCGTCAATTCCACATTTTCCCCTTGAATTCAAAATCGACTCAAACCACAAAAAAACAGAAATACAAGTTCTTGATATATGAAGAATGCCACATAAATGCATAAAATAAAAACTGTCAAAGCTATCATAGATATCTATGTTTACCTCTTTGAAAAATTTCAAACAGTTCATCAATTAAAGTGCTATCTGAGAATGTATATTGGGTTGCGTCTCAAAATCGGTTAGGGTCTTTATTATACAGATTGTATTATAAAAAACGCCCCAAGCCATAATTTCATTACTTTTAAAGACGTTATTATACATTTTTGCTCAAAGTTGAACAGTTTCTCGTTATTAATCGTCTGCTTGTCTTAGATAAAATGAATAAAAATGTTCTATTTTTTCCACAGCCTACTTTATTTAATTTAGTTTTCAAATTGCCTAAAATCAAAAGTTACTGATAAATAAGAGTAAGTGAGCTTGTTGAAAGACAATTTAATGAGGAATCCAAAAATAATAAAAATAATAAAATATACAGGGTGTTATATTTAAAAAACTGAAATCATTGTCACTTTTGGTAAAACAGGAAGCAGCACTAATTGTTGATTGATTGATTTATGATCATTGATCTATGCCAAACAATAGATGACAAGAAACTGTTTAACTTTGTTTCAAGAAGTATTGTCATATCTTTAAAAATAATGGAGTTATGGCTAGAGGTGTTTTTAATAATACAGTCTGTATATAATTCACCCTGTATGATAAAATTGAATTAGAAAAATACCATCATAATAAATTTAATATTTTATTTTATTTTAATTAAATGTTACTAAAAATAAATTGTTCATGGCCAACTCAAGAACCAAATTTTATTGATCACGATTACATCCGGTGATGTAATAAAAAATAATACATAAAAAATTTTTCTTAGGTATGATTGTAAAATATTTTAATTGAAAATTCAAATTTGTTTTATTTGACCAGAAAAATACGTTTGTAAACTGTTTATAATTAATTAATTAATTAATTAATTTTGAAGAGATTCAGTTTCAGTTTACATTTTCAAATTATTAATGAATTTGGACGTTTGTCCTAAAATTTTCGTATTTGTCTCGTATTGCTGATGATTTATTTGATTTTCTGTCTATAAAATAAGAGATTAATGAAACCAAATGTAAAACTAGTCATAAAACTTTTTATTACCTGAAAAGATTGCCGTTAATAAAAATCTAACATTTTCCTTCGACAGGTAAAGTTTTTTTCTATTCTGCGATTTTCAAACCATACAGTGTCTCGGCTAGGATTTTCCTTATTAAGGAACAGAAAACACTAACATTAGGTACAGTTGAGAACAAATTACTTTGGTCGTTAAAGTCACTTGAGTGAGATAAAGTTGTAAAGCAAGCATTAGGATGGTTAACCTTATTTTTTACTACTGTCAACCATTGCCACTGACTGTGACTATCACAATGATTTAAAATTTTCATCAATGTTGACTTGACGTTAATGCTTGGTTCACCTTTTTTTTTGAAATGACAGAAAAATAATGAGCAAGGCACCAAGGTATTTTGTCCCCAATAGTACTATACAAAATTAGTTTTTCTTATCCCTTTTTCTAATTATTATTATCTGTTTTTTAATACAAAAATATATTGGAACTAAAAAAAAACCATTAAAATTCCAACAAATCAGAACCTATTTTTTTTTTTTAATTTAAGTAATCTAATTCCCTTAATTTTAATTGCTTTAATATACAAATCAATCTAAAATACATTTTTTAATTTACTTAAACCTTTGACAGTGTTAATTTTGAGTTTAATTAAAAGTTTTCTGTAGGAGTGTAACAAAATTATTGAAGTGAAACGTTAGGTTGGGATTAATTTTCTAAAATTTAAAAAAATGTTATGAGGGGAGTCATAGGGGCTGAAAAAGTAGGAACATAGGAGAGCTTGTGCCAGATAACCAAGAAGCTTAAAAGTGTTTAGCAAACTTCAAACTTAACACAAATTTGGATAGCAAATACTATTTATGATCTACTAACCAAAAAGATAAAACACGCCTTATACTACTTACCTGAAACTTTTAACACTTTTGAAATATAATTTTTATTCTGTTAATTTTTATAAGTTCAGGCGGTTGTGTAAAATTTGAAAAAAAGGGAAAAGAGTGCATATCTGAAAAATAGGATGATAAATATCAAAACTATCGATGTTTGTGTAAAATTTCAAATAATTAATAATAATTCATGTTTAAATTATTTTATGAACATAAAAAATACTTAAAAATAATTAGAAGTACAAGTAATATGTTTTTTGAATTTTTTTAATACTGTGTTGTCCCTTTAAAGATTTACAAAAACCGGCGCTTAGACTTACAATGGCAAGTATTCATGCGTGTTAATACGTTTCAGCCAGTTTTAATAATGTCGCACTTGCACAATTTATGCAAATTAATGATAATCACAAGATTTTGATGACAATTTATTGTAATATTCAATTCGTTAATTACTAAATCCGGTTAAATACCAGAATACTACAATTTAAATAATTGTAGTAAATTTGTTACCAGTCAAACAACAATTTACAATATAATCATTGCAATGCAGTGAGCGATAAATGATTTTTCTATACAGAATGTTCCAGCTAAGAAGCTTATAAAAAGGTGCAATTAACAAACTAACCTAATTCTTCAAGTTTGGAAACGCTTTAAATTTCCAAAAAAATTATAAACTGAAAAACGCATTTTTTGTCAAAGGCTAAGTACGTCTCAAATTTGAAATAATTTGATGTTCAATTCTAAGCTGGGACACCCTGTACGTTTTAAAACTATTTGCGTCCATTTTTATGGCATATCTAATACCGGCGATAAAGCGTTTTTATTACTAAAATTTTTCCCAACATCCGTCATGATTCGTCCAAGTTTGCATTTTATCAAAATTAACAGAAATAATGAACAATAAAGCATGCTATTAGATTTTAATCAAGTGTAAACGTAATAAAAATGATTTGTAGTGAAAATGTTGTGACACCTTGTAAATAATTATCATGTCAAAATGAGCGGTTGCATAATTTTCGTCGGTGAATAAAAAAAAGTGTGAAACTAGTGTAAAAATGGTAATGCGTCGGGCGGTATTTTTGCGTATTAGATGACGGCAGTGCGTCCTTCGCCTTGTAAAAGTCGGAATCCCCGCTCCCGTGCAAATGTCAAATTGAAAGAGGTACCTTTCTGTCATTGATTATGCAATGCGTGGAACGCACTAAGTTTCAGCAACGCCAACTGTAACACTGAGCACTGGTTTAATGGTCACCAGCAGGAAGTGGCACTTGGGCATGTGTCGTCTTTGAGAAGAAGATCATCGAGAGTATTATCGCGGCGGTGACTCGAGGGCGCCGAACCCGGAACTGCCAAATAGTCGCGAAAATGGCACGTGACGCCCTAACTCCTAGGGGTGCATCTCACTGTTGGCGCTCCGACCCGGCTTCGAATCAAGTCGCCGGCCAACTGTCTGAACCGCGGTTGTCGGAACGGATTGCGCTGCGCTCCGTCGCCCCCGCAGCCCCACCATCGCACGGTGCATACGCATCGCCTTCGTTCGTCGCGACGGAGAATGCACCGTCGAGACGCATCAGGGGAAGTGGGGCACCGACACCGAAAACGAGACGTCGCCGAGAGTCGATAGGGCGACGCGACGCGACGCGACGCTACAAGCGTCCACACGCGATGGACGACAACAGACAATATTATTGACACCTGACAATTGCACAACCGAAATTCGGAGAAAAAACGCAAACTGATTGCAATTTTATGGTTGGCAGAAATTGCAAGAACGTTACTCTAGCCTCGGTTTTGCACATTTTTACGTGATTATCGAAGGTTATGTGCGTGATTTTTGTTCGGTGGATCTATTCACTGGGACAATTAGCCAATTTCATAAAATACAAAGCGCTAAAAAAAACAATTTTTTTGTCATTTCTCTGTTCTCTATTATAACACAGATTCCTCTTTTACACAGAAATCAAATGTTTCTGACCTATTTCACCTCAGAAACGCAGTTGCGATGTTGCCAGGGTGGCTATATAGGTAGTCTAAACTCTAAAGTATACAGCGTGATCTTAAAGTCTGTGCAAATATTTTAACAGGTGTTAGTACAGCTTAAAAGAAGTCAAAATAACTCAACTTGCCTTATCTGCATGTTTATAGTTTTTGAGATATCGAGCTTTATGGTTACACATCTTTGATTGTTTTCAAAAACATGGAAAAGGAGACAAAATCCAATTAGGCAATTATAAATTTTTGTAATGTACATACAAAGTGCACAAGAAGTATGAAATCAATCATTTTATTCTTACACTAATTTACTTAAAAAAAATAAATTGGGGAAAAAAGTGTTTTAAAAAATATAACAGTTTTTTGAGAATGAAATTGTTTTTGTTTTTGAGTTTCGCAATTTGTTTTGACAAAATTGGAATTCCGTTTAGATAATTGTGATGGAAAAAATTCATAGATGACCATTTAAAGAAATTATTCTAAACACAAAAAATTACTACCAAATAATACTAAGTAGATTTTTGCAGTACATAATTATAGTTGTAGTTTATAATTCCTGAAGTACTTTTTTCAAGTTCCATACTTTTTGTTCACCCTGTACATATATAATAATTATTTAAACCATAGCAGTTTTAGTTATTACCCTTATTAACAAGATTCTGATTCTATCACATGAAATTTTTTTTGATTTGTATGTTTTTTCATGAATGTACATAACCTATTTCTTTTTTTTTTAATTACAGCTTTTGTATTAAAAATATGTAATAACTAAAAAGAGTATGTAAAATGAGTTTTCTAAATACAGGGTATTTCATTTTTATTTTTTAGTATGGTTATTTGTTAGTGCATTAGATAAAATGTTTTTTTTTTGTTTAAATTTAGTTATTTATTATACTAGACGATAAAGGAATTGTTTATCTACGAGTGAAAAGGTTAAGTTTACGAGTGACAAAGTCACGAGTGGACTTTTTTCACGAGTAGAGAATAGTTATTTATTGAAAGAGTGTGTTAGATAGCGTTTTATCCACGCAAGAATTTTCATCAGTGATGGATAAAACGCGACTAACAGTGTAATAAAGTTACTTTATTCCACTAGTGGATATTTTGTACTCACCTACCAGAATTTCTTGAATATAAACAGTAGATAAAAATTATTTTATTTCACTAAAAGACTACTTTATCTACCGAAATTAGTTGATAAAAGCACTCTTTAATATTGAGTACAAAATAAAATAATTAATTACATTATTGTTAACTAACATAAACATACATAAATACCTAAACTAAAACCTAACAAAATTTTTAAGACAATTTTAAAAACAATAATAATTTGCGAATGTCCGAGATTTTGACAGATCTTTTTAAAAACCTTTTGTTAATCGAAAACTAAGGCCAATACAAAAATTTTACAAAAATCGCTTAAAAAAAATAGATCTTTCGATTAAAAACAAAAAATACACGAATTAAAATATGTTAACTTGTTATAAGGTAATTACTTTACAATGATAATATAACAAAAGAAATAGCACCCAAAACACGTAATTTTCATAGCATATTGTATGTACCAAATTTCATAAATATTGATTACTTCATTAAAAAGTTACTAAAGAAAATTCGAAAATATTTTTTAAACTCTGACGTCCTCTAACTTTTAAAGAGTGCAACTTGTTGTGGACGCAAGTTGGGTTAAATTGCTATATTTTGTCCTGGGGACTCTCAGGTTACTTTTTATCCCTATTTTTTCGTATGTATAATAAAAATTGAAATTGTTAACATTATAAATATTTTTCAATTTATAAGAAAAGCTGACACCGAGGTCGACACGCAATCTCAACCCTCAACTGTCTCTAAAAACGGACCAATGAAATGTGATTTGTGGAATATTTTTTCTTCTTCTTAAATCTGTCAAAATAATTGTATCGTAAAATTATTATATTTTTTACGCAGCGCCTGTACCTAAATGGTTTACTAAATTAAAATGATAAAAAAACTGCAACAATGCAGAGTGTAATAACATACAGATTTATCAACAAGAAATTACTACATACCTAAGATTTAGGGATATTTGTTACTAAGTTGCCATAAATTTGGTTAGGTTGGAGGCTGTGTGATTTCTAGTGACAAACAAAAAATATCGTAACTATATCGAAAATTTAGGTTAAGTCAGCATTCATTAACATTGAATCTCTCAATTGATAGTTGACAGATTACGTCAATTGTCAACAAAATTATTTTTGAAAATTCTAGTTACAAGCAACATGAAAAACGTAAGTGGTAATTAGTGTATGTTCAATTAAATTTCTAATCAAAGTGTCCTGTGACTTTAAAATTAAGTTGAATAATATAGACACAAGTTATACCACGTGATTTTTGCCATTTGAAATCATTTTGTTGGCATTGCCGTTATTTGAAGCATTAATAATTCAGTGTTGCCAATAGATTTTTTATTCCAGTCACGCAGTCTCATCTATCATCCATCTTCACAGTATTCAATGCCGCCAACATAATTCCAAAGACACAGGCCACTATGATGAGAAATTTAACTAACCGTATGGTATATGATCATTACGCACAGTCGTACGTAAAGTCAGTAAAATAAAGATAGTGTATTGTACCTAGGTAAAAGAGTCCTCAAGTCCCTCGTTTGGTAATATACTCTCTCAGCATTCGTGTTTTCTGGCCCGATTATATTCAAATCGTTCAATCGTGTTGAAACCTCCCGGGAGTCCCCGATTGAGACTTAGCTCGTCACGTCGCGAACCTCCGTCTTCCTGTTTACCCAAGCGATTATATCCAGCGTTCCCGTCCAATTAGCACGTTCGAGTGTCGTCAAAATGTTTATATCGGAAAAGCAAGCGGTCGAGGAAAAAGACAGAGTTGCGAACTGTCGGTTAGATAATTGCTGCGTCGTCTCGTTTCTCGCAACAACAACAAATTTTAGGCGATGCGTTTCGAGGTCGCGACCGAATCTGCAAGGCAAGGTGACTCGGAGGGGGCCACGGTGTGGCATTTGCGTGCAGACCGTACTTGGTTATTATTGTTATCTGGCGTAAATCTGCACTATCGCCAAGCGGCTATGCAGGACTCGAACACGTCTGCTTTCGCACGCACACGCGTATACACGCCGAAAATAGAATTTATTATTGCGTCGTTCGCACACGACCGAAGCCAAGGAATTTTCAACGGCTTTTTTCTGTGATAACACTTGTCAACAAATTTTTTAATGCTAATTTATTTGCAAAGAAGAGCAGAGCCGGATCAGCGCAGCACTTCCTTCAGGTACTTAATCATATAAATTGGCCACCAAAATTAACCGGTCAACTAAAATTTTGCGATTCTTCACATTGAAATATTTTTGTCAAATCTTTGGCAGATTTCGACGAATTTTTGTTTGACTTAAAAAACTTTGTAGATCATTGAAATTTACTTCAATAAATGTCTTCTAAATGTGATGAAGGCACTGTTTTTTTACTTATTTTTATATTGAGCTGTGGTGTGCGACAAAGACAAACTTAAGTTTTTACTGATTTCAGATTATTGCCCATTCTTTTCTGAATTATGTACCACATTTTCCATAATTTTAATTCTTGAGACATGAGTGATATAAACCTTCAAAAAAAGCATTACATTTCCAAATTCAATAAATGTTCGTATTAAGTAGGCCTAATGTACCAAAACGTCAAAATAGGCGCATGGAAGCTTCCAATAATGAATCGTTTTACTTGTTGTAATCCTTTCAAGTTCCAAATTTTTCAGATTTTTTTGTCTTCAAAGACGTAATTGTGCTCTTTTGGTGACATAAGCAATAATTTTCGGTTTAACTACCTTTTTATGTAGCCTACTTTTTGAACGAATATTTAGTAACATTAGAAAAGCAACGTCTTTTTCAATACTTTGTATCTCTGGGGCACCGAAAGATAAAATTTTGAAACAAATTGATCCTCATTCAGAAAAGAACGGCCAATAATCTGATATAAGTAAAAACTTAATTTTGTCTCTGTTGTACCCTACAGCTCAGTATAAAAAAAGTAAAAAACAGTTCTCTCGTCTTTTAAGTATAACATTTACAAGACAAAACTAGAAATGTTATTGAATTAAATTACAATAATCTACAAAGTTTTTTAAAGCCGAACAAAATTTTGTCGAAATCTGACAAAAAATAACAAAAATATTGCGATGTAAAAAATTGCAAAATTTTAGTTGTCCGATTAATTTTGGCGGCCAGTGTAGATGAAAAATACTACTATTTTGTTTTTTTTTTTAAATTTAAACAGTTACTAATAAAAAAAGGTGTGAAAACTTTTCGTAACGCTGCCACCAAGCCCATTATTTAACAAAGTCGTCGTATCATACTTGTTTTTAGATGTTATTGATTTGGACTTTTTGATTCTTTTCTCATTTGACATTTAAAAATTATGATTAATTTAAGTAAAATGAAGCAGTAGAAAGTGGGAACGTAAGTAGTTTTAAATAATGTAGAAGCTTCAGAATAACAGAAAAACGTGATTAAACGAACTGACAGCAACGTTCTATGAGAGGAAAATAAATATAAAATCATTACTTTCGTAAATAATTCATTTTTGTTTACATTTTAAAGCCATTAGACCTTTAACAAAATAACACTTGCAATAATCAATAAAAGTCAAAACTAAGTTTAACTTTAACAATTAATAACTTGTTGGCTATTTTACAATAATTGATCAACAATGTGAAATTTTATGCAGTCTTCTTTAAAGTAGTGAAAATTTCGTCCTTTTATTATTCTTAGTTTCTGTATCGTAAATTGTTTAAAAAAGTGCATTTTTGGTAAAGAAATTGAATTATACAGGGTGTGTCAACTAAAATTTGCCTCCAAGTTTGGAAAAAATGCTGTAACGGGTCA